CTCCTCCCTCTCCTCCTCCCCTCCCTCTCCCCCACAGAGCCTGTCAGAGTCACTGAAGAGACTTATCGCCGCTAACCTCCAGCTCAAGACAGTACCGGACGATCTTCTCAACGCCCTCGTGGCTCTCACAAAGCTGGACTTGAGCTCCAACCAACTGGGAGATGCCTCCTTTCCAGGTAACATTAGCTGGAGTGCGCGACAGACTGTCCCCGTGGTTTTATGTACCCCGCATAATTTAGCAATATTTGATCATTTTTTGCTCATTTTCTGATTACTTTCCTTCATCATTCTTTGTAAAAAAAATTAACAGAATCGCATAATTTCATATAATATTTGGGCTTAAGTTGCATAATTTCAGAATTATTTTTTTCATACAACCGCGGGGACAAGATAGAGTGTGTGTTATGATATTGCTAGTGACCCTATCCGTACACCCTGGGGTCATTTTGTACCCCCGGGGGTTGTATTCTTCACATTTTAGAATACTTTTAGAACGAAGATCTCTTTGAAACTTTCAGTATTTCTCAAAAAATCATTTTGACAGACTGCTATGCCAAGCGTACGGATCGGATTAACGAGTAAATTTTCTCTTTCGTTTTCCCCCTACAGTCTTCATTTGGAATCACGGAAGATGTTAAGGGTGTGTCTTGCTAATCGACACGTTTGGTAGTGATATTTGTTATGGTGTCGTCGCGATTTCCTAATTTTGAATATTGACTAGGTGGTGGCCTAACGGTCTACTCTTACTCCCCGGGGCTGTGCTTCTGACTGTAGTGTCCTCAGGCCCAGGGGGGGGGGGGGCATTACCATCCCAAGTTCTTTTGCACAGTAGAATCGTAATTGTAAATGGGCTGATTCATCAATGTCACGCTCATAACTGTGCCTGAACTGCAACAGGGAACTGCTGCTTTTTCTTTCCTAATCCTTACTATCGTCATTTTTTCCTTTACTTCTTTTGTATGTTTGTCACACACTTGTGACCCGCTATTTCTGGGGTGCCTTGATAGTCGAAGCAGACTTTGAGCTGTTGAAGCTAGAGAGGTGAGCAGAGTAGTAAGTCTGATTCCCTGTAAGGACTTCTCTGTCAACGTCCACCTCTTGGCATTCATATGACCGTATGCAGTCGTGAGCACCGTAAAATATCTACTAAAACAAACAAGGTCTACTCTTTATAATTTTCAACTACTGACGATGGACATTGCATACGACACATTTCTGTTCCTTGACATTGTGTGGGAACTGATGGTTTAAAGTGTCCTCGTGACATTTATGCTGATTTGTTTTACCGTCAGAGTCGATAAATCTGCTGGAAATCCGGTTAAACCAGAACAACTTGACTCGGGTACCCGTGTCCTCATGACATTCATTCTAATTTGTTTTACCGTCAGAGTCGATGAAGAGGCTGGAGAATCTGCTGGAGATCCGGTTAAACCGGAACAACTTGACTCGGGTACCCGTATGTTTGCGGAGGTTAAGGAATCTCACACGGCTGGACATTAGTGACAACCAGGTGAGAGAGAGAGAGAGAGAGAGGGAGAGGGAGGGAGGGGAGAGAGAGAGGGAGAGAGATAGATAGATA